TTGCATTTCATAAAAGAAATCACAGCAATGCTATTGGTAGGAAAAAATGAGGCAACACCTTGTTGCATGGGTGAAACACAATTTATAAACTGGTAAATTAAAATAATTTTAATAATCCTTGTTGAATAGATGCAGAGAATATAACAATATTTATTTATTTAAAATATTTTTATTTTACCTTTCTCATTAAAAAGGACACAAGGCAGCTTACAACATTAAAAGACAATATTTAAAGCTAAAAGCAATGAGTCTACAAAGGTGGCCTGCATCATTCAAAAACAATATTTAAAGCTAAAAACAGTAAGTTTACAAATACTAAAAAGGATCAAACAAATACTACTCTGAGAAATGTTAAACAAAAGTAACACCAAAACACATTTAAAACAGTAAAGTACAACCATCAATTAAAAAGCCTGACTAAGACAGGGGATCAATGAGAGAAAGCTTGCCTGAAGAGAAAGATCTTTCTCTCCTTGCAGAAGGACAGCAAAGATGGGGCCAACTTGGTCTCCAGTGGAAGGGAGTTCCAAAGTTTAGGAGCAGCAACCGAGAAGGCCCTCTCCTGTGTCCCCTCCAAATGCACCTGAGAAGGTGGTGGGACTGAGAGAATTATTTTAATCATCTATATACTACATAGAGTGTGAGGTCAGTGGCACATTCTTATTTATTTATTTATTCATTTATTTACAATATTTTTAGCCACGCCATTACCAGTGTAACATAACATGCAATATTTTTTAGCCACACCATTACCAGTGTAACATAACATAACATTGTTATGTTACACTTGCTTTTAAAATGGCATGGGCAACCCTTTAAAGAATCACAGTCCTCACAGAAATAAAGTAGCAAATAAATTGGTTTTCTTATTGCCCAAAAGGTTACATACCTGTTCTTAGAACAGAGCAGCACAAACAGACAGACCTTGAAAAACCAGAACGTTTTTTTGAAAATTTCTACCAGGAGGAAGTAGTACATAAAAAATACACATGAATCCAGAGAGTGACATATCTACCCTGCTACTATTCAACCTCTGCAGAAAATGGGAAAGCAAGTCCATTAGACAAAAACTGGAAGGGAAAGATGTAAACTCAAGGTCCACACTTCCCAATTCATCATCATGTCACCATGGCTAAATTACTCCTTTTCAATGATTTCCCATTCATAACTGATATAATAAGAAATGACTGTGTGGGTCTGAAGTATTTGTTCCTCACTCTAATAGTCTAACATCTCCACCATGCTAGTACTGTCACTTTGGACCTTTCTCACCAGAATTTGTATGATCTTGCTATCCTTCAAGACATCAGCAGTTATCTGATTTGTGGTCAGAAATACCACTTTTGCTGACAACTCCTAGAAATCTTGAGCCTATGGGGCTCAGAAATTCTAACTGCTGTATTTTTTTAAGAACAAGGTGTTTTTTTTTTCAGGTTCTATGACTGGCACGTACCAAATAAGCCCAGAGCTTGGAAATAATGCATTAAAATTAGTTTTTTTTACAGTTAACAATACTTTTCTCACTTTCCCCATCAAACTAAAGAAGCACCCATTTATCTAACTTTTTAAAAATGTTTTAAAATCAATGCAAATTCATTTTCCATCTGATGAAATACTGATTTATCACTATGCCTGTGTGTCCACAGCTCATCTTAATGTTCTGAAATAAGATCCAATTCATTACTCAATATTTGTCAGGACATAATCCCAAATTACCAGGGCATGAACATGCAGATATATCTCTTTTGCTGATGACTTTTAATGAAAGTCCTTTTTCCCTTGTTATGCTTCTAGTCATCCAGTGCTTTGATCTGTTAGAACATGGTAATTTTTTTAACCTTGTATGTTAGGATAGGAATGTTGAGATCCCACCAGTTCTGAACATCAGATTAATTGATTCTGATGTTCCCTGGGCAATCTGTCTGCTTCATGCTCTGTGTTGGAAGGGAGAGATACCATGGAGTACTGTATGTATTTAAATCTTTTATTGTTGAAAATATTATATAATATTAAACATTAATTTGGGAGTGATAGTATGGAAGCAGTTTCAGAACTGCCATGCTCCCTGACAAAGACTGACAGCAACCATCTCTTCAACGCTCCACACCCCACAAATAAGATTAATTTATAGCCTACTATTTTGAAGGGAATTAACCTGTAGTCAGTTAATGGCTTGTTCTTCCTTCTAGGTAAAAAAGTATTTGCAAAACTTAACATCTGCGTCAGTCAGTGCATCCCTTCCATGGAGGGTCTGACTGAAACCATTGATTTTCATTATTTTCACAACCCTCAAGCCAGGGGGAAAGGTGCTATGAAAGATTCATTGCTCTAGCCACACCAAATGAAGCAAAGCAACATGGGGTTGGGGGTGTTCTGGCAGCCATCCCACAGCTTTTTTGTAATTCCTATTTTCCTCATAATATAAAGAAATGTTGCAGCCACCTCTCACCCTCAGCTTGAAACTCAGTTCTGCCCCCAATATGTAGCCCCAAGATCAGCCTTTATCATCAAACAATTTGTTTCAGGATCAAGCCTTTGGAACCAGGTGTCCTAGAAACAGCTGTTCTTAGCTGAACTAGTTTCAGGATCAGGCCTGTTCCACAGGTAAGTAATTTTAGGATTGAAACCATTGTCTGTATAGGTACATCTAGCATCTGAAGCTGGAATACAGCCTGGTTGCCTTCTTTAGTCACCTCTGTTTGTTGAATGTATCTAGCAGGTCACTAGAGACTGGAGACATGTGAGGAAGAAAAATCTCCAACAATCAAACAACTGATGTTATTTCAGATGTTTCCTGTTCTACAGCTCCTATCTTCTTTCTTCAGTTTAAAAATCTACAGTGGACCCTCGACTTACAGACGGCTCGACTTACAGACTTCTCTGGCTGCAAAATTTAGATTCGACTTGCAGCCGGAGAATCGACTTACAGACCAGAAAAAACCCAAAATGGAACAAAAATAGAAGAAAAACTGCCAGTTATGGGATTAATCGGTTTTCAATGCATTGTAGGTCAATGGAGATTCGACCTACAGACTTTTCGACTTGCAGCCACCATTCCAATACGGATTAATTCCGTAAGTAGAGAGTCCACTGTAATAACAATAAAGTCTCATTATGTTCCACTTCATTGGCTAGGGCTGATGTTAGCCAAAGTCCAGCTACCTCTGAAATCCACAGGGTCCCCAATTCTGTTGGTAGTTCAAAATTTCTGAGCACTCCTTGCCAGCACCACAATAATTCATGTGGGGAACATGGAAGGAACCTCCCTAAAGAATGTGAAGATTGTGAGCACATTCAGGTATCTCCTAGGCAGTGACAGCACCATTTCCTCCCACCTTGGAAATGCTTCTGACACAGGGTAGTTCATATAATGGAAAACACAGTAGTATTCCAGTATCTGTTCTCTATCATTGTATATGCATTGGATCAATACATGCACAGTTAACATGGGGGCCTGTGACAGCATGTTGTTTTATGACTGGTAAGAAAAGGTGATACTACAGATGATGTGTCAGTGAGATTTTTCCCCTCTATGCTTTCTGTATCTTGTACTATTAAGTTTTCTCTAATGTCTATGCTGGAAGTACACAAAACCTCAAGTAACAACACATGTTTATATGAAAATAATTTCTATCGTTTTTAATCATTTCTTCCTAGGAAAGTACATACTGCATTTTTCTTTGCTTATGGCACTACAAAACAGCACCAACAAACTAGTTTTCTAGTTCACATTCAGTAGGTCTTCTTTAAAACAACATACCTTTGCTCTTTAAAGGCCATCTAATCATTTAACCTTTATTTAAACAATAGTGTGACTACCTTTTATGGATCACGTTTGTCACGAGCATTGACTTCAAAGCATACTGATTTCTATTGTCTGTTTCACAATTTTCTTGCAAGACAAATTGAGATTTTTAAGCAATTTGCAAATTAAGGGTCTATTTTATACACCCTTAATTTGCAAATTAAGGCTGTTTTTATGCACCATCAAATCTGGTGGAGCTTACTTCCAAGTAAATATTGACAAGACTGAGTTTGCATGCCCCATACAAATTAGCTGTAACAATTAATAGTCAATGTATCATTTTGAAAACTGAAATCAACAGCTTGAGTCACTTTTTAAAAAAGCAATATTTCTCTAACTATACAAGTTTTACATTAAAGGCTTGAGTGCTTCCAGCATTCAATACATGACATCATCTACTATAAATGTCTGCTTCCAGAGTCATGGAATATAAAAAAATACTTTTGAGTACTGTATATGCACAGGAGTTTCCCTAGGCTGTGTTCGGGCAGCTTTTTCTAATCAACCCCACAGTTCTAGCTACTTTTCCACATAGAAGTGTAAAACTGGCTTCCAAGCAGTCACTAAAACCTTGTAGACTGATTCAGGAGCAGGGCTGGCTCTTCTAGCATGTGGTCTTGAAGTAGCAGCCATCACAAAAGGGCATCAAATTAATAGTTAATTCACTGTCGCTGTATTATTCCTTCTGGGGTCAGGAGAGCTCCTTGTGGGCTTTTCTGCCTCAGATGATAAAGCAGACTGATTGGGTCCTGCGAAGTGTGTATTATGAAGAGATGTTTCCTTCTGCCATGAGAAGTTTTGGCTCGGCCCTGCTTCCAAATGAGCCGCCCAAATGGCCTCATGCATCGTTAACACGTGTAGCTACCAGTAACTGGGCCTCTGGGGCTTGACGCTAGACTGCAGAAGATATTCACATGTGCCTCTTTTCGCCCTGCAACATCAAGGGACGAGACGATCTGCACCTGTGAACAAGGTCACCTCCCCGCCCCAATAGTCGGGGTAACTGCCGACGAACTATTTGTCAATCCAGCTGCCCTGCCAGGCCCAAGTGGCCAAAGGGTGACTAATCGAGCGCTGCACAACTGAGCCTCGTTCAAGAAGAGCGGTCGAGCTCTCTCTTCGGGATCAAGCCACCTCGCGGCTGGATCAGTAGCCAATCAGCTTCGGCCTCCCCAACACCTCAACCCCCCCCCGACTCCAGGAGGCGCCCTTCCTCACGCCCCGCCTCACATGATTGCCGCCACGTGACGGACGCGGCGCGGGTCACATGAGAGGCGCGGGGTTGTGGTGCGGAAGGAGTCACATGATCCCGTTCCGAGCTCGCGCTTGTTTCCTCTTCCTTGCTCGGTTATGTCAATGGAGTAACCTCTGAGTTTCTTTTCGCCCGCCGCCATGAGACGCCCCGCTTGCGCCCCTCTTAGCGGGGCGCCCCCGCCGCGGCCGGCCGGGCCTGGGGCTCTGCGCTGGCTGCCGTTGCTCTTCCTGCTGTTCCCGAGTCCGGAGGGAGGCAGCTTCGCCTCCGGGGCGGCCCAGAGCAGCTTTAATTACCGGGACCTGTGCGGGTGAGTGCTGGTCCTGCTTTGGCACACCTGGGGAAGCCCGTGCGATGAGGCGCTGGGCCTCGTCGACGTCCTGAAATCACAAAGATGTCTCTGTTTAGAGATACCGTGACGGCTTTTGCCGAATTTTAAACTCTCCAGGCAGAGACCGAATTATTTCTGTCTGGGTTGCTCTGTGCAGCGTCTGGCACGCAGTTCGCAGGCGTTAATGTGTGCAAGGAGCGCTAAACGAGGACTGTCCCGGGCCCCCTCTTGATTATAGCGAGGCGTGTAATGCTTACTTCACCAGGGAACTCTGTGTGTTAAAAATTTTTCTGCCGCGTCTGTCACAGCTGTTCTCTTGAGTGAGTATGTGTGTGTCTGAAGAAAATTGCCTTTGGGACCTCATCGCAGGTCTGTTTGGGAGGCGACGCTGTGGGTTTTTTTTAAAAAGCCAATTGCTGATCGGACGTTATCAGGAGAAAGCCAGAGTTTATTTTAGCATATGGCTTGTGCAAAATATACAGTACTGCCATAGAGAACTTGAGAAGTGACTTCGTGGAAAAAGAGCTCTGCAGAGAATTTGACTGAGGTGTCCTTGGGTACAACTATTGGAGCAATATCAAGTAAAAACAAGAAAAATGAAAAGTAATGAAGAAAAAAACATTGTGCCACTTTAAAGACTTACTGCTGTATTTTATGGTGTAGCTTGGAGCAGTGTATTTGATTCTTAAAGGTAGAGGTCATGGCCTCCTTCCATGACTTCTGTTAACATAGTTTTAATTCCTAGTCAGGCTTCCTTTAAATTTTGTTTAACCACAAGTTGTTACACTTTTTCAATAAATGGTTTTCAATAAACCTTAAACAGGTTTAGGACCTTGGTACCTATTAGAAAGCCTGCTCCTAGCCAGATCTGTCCGTAATACCTGTTCTTCACGGGCAGGGCAGTTGAGGGCCTTGACACGGAAGGAGGCCCCGAGGGAAAGAACAAGAAACTGGGCCTTCTCAGTGGTTGCCCCCTCCCCCCCGGCCTATGGAACAACCTGCCTATTGAGATCAGCTTGGCACCCTCGCTGGATGGGTTCAAAAGAGCATTGAAGACCTGGCTCTTCCACCAGGCTTTCCCGGAGCATTAAGATCTTGTCCTCCCTTTTACCATCCTTTTTGCCATCCTCTCCATCACCCCTTTTTACCACCTTCATTACCATCTGTTTTAATTCATCCTATTTTGTTATATATTAATTAATTTTTCATTGTGTTTTAATATTGTTGCTGATATTGTTAGCTGCCCAGGGTGGCCTGGTTACCAGATGGTGCAACTAACAACAATATCAGCAACAATATTAAATTCAATAAATAAATATTTGAATAAAATTTCCTTTTGAAAAATATTGTTGCAGAACAACACTTACGGTGTTGCTCAAGTATGGCTTTCCTCCGTGGAATAGGTGTAATTAATTCTTTATTTTTATGTCACTTGTTGAATAGGTTGGACCCTGTTACATCAAAAGGATTGCGTATGCCTAATATAATGTATGTAGTTGCAAATCTAAGTAGCAGGAGGAACCTGTTCTCTTACTAGTTTAAGAAGATGAGAGGTTAAATCAGCTGTCTAATACCTGTTGTTTCCTCTTTTTGATGAAATAATACATGGCACAAAGGTTCAGTGTGTGTAAGGATCTGTGGGAACGAGCAATCAGCTATTAGCATTTTATTATATACAAATGTAAAAAGCTGAACCTATATGCCAGCGATGGTGAGCCTATGCCACAGCTGGCACACAGAGCCCTCTCTGCGGGCATGCGAGCCATAAGTTGGCAGATCATTACTCCCCCCCCCCCCCCCGCAGTCAAACCTGAGGAAGCAGCTGCAGCTGCGGTGCTGGCACACTCACACGTAGCAGGCCAAGATCTGAAGAAACTGGAGCTGGCAGTGGATCCAGAGTGAGATCTCGGGCACCTCCATGCCCAGGATTCCCTCTTCCGCCACCACTTCTGCTTCCACCCACTGTTTTTTTTCTTTTGAGTTTGCAGTCAGATAATTGTTCCATTTAGCTTATTCTCTATGCTGATTGGGAGCAGGTCTCTAGAGTTTGAGACAAGGCTTTCATCCAGCCTTCCATAGAGATATGAGGAAACCTTTGAATGCAGAACATGGGCTTGACTGCTCAACTGTGATCCTTTCTAATGGGCAGTATTCTGTACTCAGAATAGTCTAAAATCCATTGATGTCTTATGTTAGAGTGTTATGTCTCATTGCTAAGCAAAGCAGCAATACTTATTATTTCTGTATTATCTTGGGTCATGAGATTGTATACATAAGACACTATATCAGTATTCTGTACATGAAGCAAGAGAAGGCTGTCAAAGGTTTTCTACTTTTCTTAAGTGGTATAATCCAGGAAAGTATCAGAGAAACTACACCCTGTAACATGGAGGGAGATCACTGGAGTCTTCTATTATTCCTGCAGTAATAATTGCCTTGCTTTACAAAGACTGTAAATGAAATATATAGGTGTACTTTTAGCAGATACTGATTCAACTGATTTGCATTAGCATCTTATGCTGATACCATTGTATCCATACTAAAGCTGTACCTGAAGCTAATGCAACCTAAATTTTCAGCTTTCTATTTCATTTTTCCTGACCACAAATACCCTCCCTTTCTCACTCATATTCTCTCCACTGAGCATCTTTTTTTAAACCCACCCACTGTGAATGAACTATAAATCTTAGGGATCACACCCTGACCCAGAGGTATGAAACATGTGGTCCTCTAGCTGTTATTGGACTGCAACTCCCATCAGCTCCAACAGCATTATGCCCAGTATGTTGTGGGCAGTGGTAGTGTGACTGAAAGAATAACACTTGTGTAAGGTTGTGTGTTGTATTCATGGTTGTGGAGAGATTTGAGCTCCCCCCCCAACATTATATTTTAATCCCTATTCTATACTGTAATCTACTTCAGTTTAGCAGGGAGAATTCTGAGTTACAAAAGTGGGAAATAATTATTTTTCTGCCTGAGAGGAAAGAAGGTATGTTGAGTAATCATGGTGATTTATTGGATTAACACCTTAAGTTAAAAATTTATTTACAATCCAAATATATTTGACCAAAACTCTCCAGGAGGTGAACTTATTCTTATATATAACAGTACATTCTGGGTCAGTGAACACAACTTCAAACAGTAGTTCAATGTATGAATGAGATGTGCGTTACCTGAAGATAGTTTATCAAAAGGGTAATGTTCCATTTTTCTAACTGCTAAAATCATTCCATGTATTTCATAGCATTCAGCCCTTGTCATCATACTAAGTAGTATGTAACCCTATTATATATTCATTTAAATGCCTGCGAACGTGGGGACATTAATTAATGCAGCAATATGCAGTTTGTGGCCTTTGGGTTCTCACTGGATTACTGCCCTTGTCGGCTGTAGCTAGTATAACCAATTGGAAAACCTGGTGGAAGTTTCAGTCTGACATTTGAGCGGCCACAAGTTGTCTGGACTAGAGGTTTACTAAAACCTAACTGAGTTCAGGAGAATGTTGACATGTCAAAAACCTGCTGCTTATCTTTTAAAATCAACAGCGATTCATTTTTAGTAGCAACAATGTTTTAATTAGATTATATAGAATGCATTTGTGGTAATAGGGGCCATTGGTAGTAGGGGCATTCTTCAAAGCATCAGTCTTACAAAAACTATCTGCAGTACATTAGTTAACGTGTAGAGCCTCCCTGTTAGTGGCAGCATGAATGTATAGTTATATTGAGGTGCAGAGGTTACATAAACAATTGTATAAGCTGAAGAAACTTGAAACTTTCTGAAGGGTTGCTTCTAGTCCAGGAATTGTAACTGGTTTGAATGCTAGCTTACAAGGGAATGGTGATTATCATCAATGTTGATAATTGTTGTCAGTAGTTAAGGGTAATTAACTGTTATGTTTGCAGCAGTGCCCAGAGCAGAGTTTATGTTGATTCATGTTTCTGTCCTTTCATGGTCTGCCAGCATTCAACTTCATCTCATTGTATCTGCAAAAGGGAGAGAGAACACATGAATTGTGACTTTAATAGTTTCTCATTGTTGGCTGTGCTGGCAAGGAATGATGAGAGCTGAACTCAAAAAAGACCCAGGGGATCACACATTTCCCAAACCAGTCTGCTCTGTAGAATATGTCCAGCTAAAGGTTGTATATCCTTGAAGTTTACTCTTCTTTTCTCCACCCTTGTCCCCCTGTAATTAATAATAGTTATGTCATCATTTAATAAAATGCACAATGTATTCTGATCACATAATTCTGCTGACTTCTGTCTGACTGCTGGTTTTCTATATGATGAAGCTGTATGGGAGAGCATTAGTTAATGTGTGCCTTAGTTTATGCTCTGAAGTAGTTAGTGTTGGCAAATATTGACTGCTGTAGGTATTTGATTGTGATATTCTGTGGTGCTATAGATGGCTGAAGAATTGGTTGTGACTAGGAGTTGTTGTTCCTTTATTTTTTGAGCTTAATGTTTTTTTCTAGAATGTAAATGTAGGTTGATCTTGGTATTCCCAGGATGAAAGCCAAACAAGAACTGATCAGCAAATGACTTGCTTTCATTATTTGGAAGTTATAATTTACTTATTTATTTAAAAAGTTGTTGCTTTCGCTGTTTCTCAGTAGCAAAGATTCATTACTTACTGTAAGTACTGTGGCAAATAGGAATAGGACGTTTGTATTTTTTGGACTTCATGCTTCAGAATTCCCAAGAGCTCTGTCAGCTGGAATTCCGGGGGGGGGGGCTTTAACTAAGAAATTAAAATCTTTACAGGAGGCGTTTTTAGTTAAATGCAGTTGGTGAACGAAGGTTCTGGCAGCCATTTGCTGCCTGTAAGGAAGAAATAAGAAATGGCTGGGAGGGGCTGACCTCCATAAGAGCTCCAAGAGATTAGGGAATGGGTGGTTTTTTGAGAGGCATTCTGTACCTCATGGCCTGAGAGACAAGCAGTCTGCTAATCTCTTGGGCTGTCTATGGAGCTTTAGCTCTTCCCAGCTGCTTCCTTCTTCTCACAGGTGGGTAATGGCTACCAGACCTTTCCTTCTCCAAATGTTTAAATGAAAACTTCTATGAAGACTTCAATTTCTAGGCTACAGAATTCTGGCTGCGGAAATTCCTGGTGAGTTTTCAAGGCCAAAGTCCAAGAAATACAAACCTCCTGTGCCTAGGGGCAAATGCTACCATTTTTTATGAACATGGTAAGGCCTGGGCATTTTCTTGATTTTGAAACTGAAAAGGAGAGGTCTTGTCCCTTCACAATTCTGTTATACTTCTGAGATGCCAACCATTTTCTTAAGCTGGGAGCTGGAGAGGGATGTAGCATTAGAAGTATTTGAAGGGTGTTTTGCAATTGCTCAGGTACTCCTTCCACTTACTCCCCAGCCCTCTCTCCAGTTCCTAGCTGGGGAGGGGTCCCAAATTTTGGAGAGACAGTGAACAAAAGACCAGAGGCACACCTGCTCTGTATTGGGAGTGGGTGGGTTCTGGATTGTGAATTACAACTCTTTTTTTGCCAGAGTCAGGCAAAATTTGTGGACCCCTGGCGATAGCAGTTAGCAAATCATAACTAGCACAAGACCTGTCAATGTTTAAAGTATGTTTGTTCTAATAAAATTAAGATTAAAATACTTGGTCAGTATTTGATTGGCCAGTTGATTAGATCTTCTGGATACTGCTCTAATTCAACTGTAAAAGTAGTACTAGTCAGATGGAAATAAGTAAGACATGGCCTAGTGTATACTTACAGAATTTAACAGCCCTTACTTCCTTTTGCCTGGCTTTGTACCTCCTACACAACAAATATGTTCCAGTTGACTGACAATCACATGATTCATAACTGAAAACTGGAGAGAGCTTTAAGCACATTGTTCTTGAAGTATTTGACTTGCTTTTGTTTTAACTCTTTTCTGAATTTGTATCTGACATGGTGGCGCTGCGGGTTAAACCGCTGAGGCTTCTGCTGCAAGGTCAGAAGACCTGCAGTCGTAAGATCGAATCCACATGATAGAGTGAGCCCCCATCGCTTGTCCCAGCTCCCGCCAACCTGGCGGTTCGAAAGCATGCAAATTCAAAAATCCGAGTACATAAATGGGAGGGTAAATGGTGTTCCGTGTCTAGTTACGCTGGCCACGTGACCACGGAGGATTGTCTGCGGACAAAACGCTAGCTCTACGACTTGGAAACAGGGATGAGCACCGCCCCCTAGAGTCAGACACGACTGGACAAATTGTCAAGGGGAACCTTTACCTTTTACATTTGGTTGACACAGTTTCTGCTGGATCTTAGCTTTATATGACTTGGCCTTTTTAAGTACTGTTATTATTAAGGGGCTCTGTATGGACAAAGCAGCTCCCATTTCATAAAGGGAAAGTCCCACTGCCAAGGTTGCAGAAGTGAGAGTCTCATGGTGACCACATTGAGAATGCATAGGCTTCCAAGGGTGAATGCATTGAAATAACATGGTTAAAGAAACTTATAGCTGCTTAATAAACTTTTGGAAAGAGTCATTCAGTATAGCTTTGATTGTTAATAATTTGGATCTTACCATGGAGGTCCTTTGAACTGTTCTAATACTGTATGTAGGTATACGTGAGCAGAGAGACATCAGTGGGCCGTCCTCCAATGCATCTACCTCTGAAGAAGACTGCGGTTGTATAGAGGGGGTGCTAGTGGAGATAGAACAAGAAGAGGAAGAAAAGAGAAAGGCGGTAGAGGATTGCCTGGCTGGGGGAGGAGCAGGATATGGTTGCGTGGGAGGAGATCATAAATGTGGGGACAACAAGGGGGAGGAGCAGGATTTGATTGCGTGGGAGGAGATCATAAATGTGGGGGGAAATGTGTGCGCTTTTTGTATAACGTACGAACCTGCTGGAGGAAGGAAGGACAGGGCGGTACAGACAGAGCAAGACAGTGAACAGGGAGACATAACTGGACTATTAAAGGAATTCCCTAATCTCCGTACTGGAGGAGGCTTGCTGCCAGATCCCGTTGTGGATAATGCTGCAAAAGGAGAGCTGGAGCCAGTAGAATGGACTGTGGTTGTGTACCCATGCAACTAGCGTGGGGGACAGAGGGTGATTCGTGCCATTCCCTCTTTACTCCAGCAGCTGCGCGAGGGGGACTGGGCGAGACATCCCTGTTGTGGGGTGATCTGTGTGGTATGGAGCACCCCTTTGAGACCTATGAAGGATCGCGAGCGGTTTGGGCCAGCCCCAATATGAGGAGTGACTGGACAACGCCAGAAATAAAGGTCCGGAGTTACAAAGTTCTGCCAGAGTTAAGTTTGATTGACCCATTTGAAGCTGTTGAACAAGAAGTGTTAAATAATAAAAAAGAACCTGTTAGAGTTTTAAGTCAGCCTCCGTCCCTCATTTCCGCGCCTACGGGGGGGCACCCATGGCAGGAGAAGGACCTGTTCACAGTATACTTAGAAGAATCAGTAGCTTAACAGAAATGTGTGAAGCAGTAAGAATTAACCAGTGGCAGGAAAGTACTTTCTAGGTATCACATTTTCATCCCTTGTGACATTCTTGGGTTGTATCTGGAAGTCAGTTGTATAATGCTTGCTCTGCATGTGGAAGGGTTTGTTCATTTACTGGCATTTCCAGGTTGGACTTGATTAAGACTTCCCGACAGTCCCATCTGGAAACCTTGGAGAGCTGTTGCCAGTCAGTACTTACCAGGCCTCTGGCAGCTGCGCGAGGGTAGGGTCAAAATAGCTTTTTGTCAGAACACATATTTCATTAACTGGATGCAGGTGGGAAGTACAGTAGTTAACTTGGGAAGACAGGTGGAAGAAATGACTTTAACACATACTCCTAGTCCAGGAATTTGTTCTCGGTAACAGAACCTAGAGCTTTCATATAGACATTTTGATATTTCTTTCATTCATTCATTCATTCATTCATTCATTCATTCATTTATTTAACTTATATGCCACTCACTCTACCCAAATGTCTCTGGGCAGCTTACATCAATTAAAATTCAATTAAAATACAATAAAAGATAAAATGATTAAAATACAATTAAAATTGCCATCAGGACCCACAGTAGATGTTATTTCAATTAAAAGCCTTCTGGAACAGGAAGGTTTTGACCTCCCTTTTTCTGCATTTTTAAATAGCTTAATTTAGGAGAAGGAAAAATACTTTATCTTCATTATTGATAAACCATTTGGAGTTGATAGTCCTTGGTCTACTGAAGATCACCTGGAAACTAGTAAATCCTGATCTGTCTTTTTTTAATATGGTCTGATTTTGTATAAGGTAGCTTCTTTTCTCTGATTTTCTCTAAAATTAAAGGCAAATTTCTTTGAACAATAATAAACACATGGTTTGGTTTGTGCATTTGAGGTAATTTCCCCCATGTATTTGAGGTATTGCTTTCCAAGTAATAGATGACTTGCCAGAAATTAATGGAAATGTACTCCTATCTTCGTTTAACTGTTTGAAAAATAATCTGTTTTACTACTGGTTTTAATGTCCGTATTTTTATTTTTGTTTTCTATTTTACATGTTGTAACCCGCCCAAAATAGCACTGTGATATTAATGGGAGAGGGATACAAAACAAACAAACAAACAAACAAACAAACAAACAAATTTATAGATTTCAGATTATTAGCAGGGCAGTTGAAAACACTTCATTGATCAAGTGTGAATGAAATGGTCACAGACTTTAAGGTATTTCTTAGCAAAGTGAATTGAAGCAGCTGTTAAGGACAGTTCAGCAACACTTATTAAGTTTACCTTTTTTCTCCATTTTCAGCTATACTTGGGAAGCTGTTAATCCTGACAAAGTACACTATAAAATAAACCTCTGTGGTAACGCCTCAGAATGTGGAAGCTCCAGTACTATTTGTGCATATGACATAAAAAACCAACTCTATTTCTCAGTAGGTAAGTCCAAAGATTTGTTTACTACATGAAATTCAACAAGCTATGCTGTCCATCAGCTTCTCTGTGTATCTCTTAGTGTTTCTGTGTTGAAGATTTCTTGTTCTGCTGGCAGTTTTTCATATGCTTAAAATATGGATTATAAGGCTTTCAGCTTGACATTTGGGATGAGGGTATGCAAAGATCTCGTATCCAATGGATGTTGTGTCCTAAAAAAACCCACCTGCTTGGAATTGTTTGGAAGCTAATTTTGTTTGTGGCTTGTAGTCATGAGGTTCCTTACATTCAATATAATTTCTCTAACCTACCCTTCTTCAACTTGATGATAGGTAATAACCTTTCATCCACAGTTAGCCAGTAGTCAAGGATATTGAGAACTGTGGTCCCAAATATCAGGAGGCCATCAAGTTGGAAAAAACTGCTTTTGAGAAGCTGCACTTTTTGCATGCTTTCTGTTTAGCATTTTGAGAAACCAGAAATAATTTCATTTGTATAGATATCAGAATATAATCCCACCTTTTGTGGAGAGAATTTTTTTGCCACAAACTTCTTGGAGGGTAGGAAGAATAGGACTACTTTGAAAGAAGCCTCTGTGTCCAAGAATTGCGCAGTGTGGCTTTTAAAGTATGTGGAGGTGAAGCTATGCTGCTTTGATGGGATGTCACTTTAGCTGATAAGTCTCTTGAATTACTGCAGTTAAGTGGTGGCATAGATGAAGAACTGCCAAGCAAATACTGTTCAGTTGCTTATAAATTAATGTTGTAGGTATGGGGTCTATTCTTCACATATTATGAAGGATTTGTGCGGTAGAATATGCCAGTCTGGGCCTTTTTCCCCTTGTTCCTTAGATCCAGTAGTCCAGTCATTTTGTGTATTTTATATCTTATACTTTATCAGTGATGCCCTCAAGGAACCTAGGTCTACCTATGATCGAAACAAAATGTTTCTGAGAAATATGTCTATATGTTTACAGGTGTTTTGTTACTGTATTTATTATTCATGTTTCTTTTTAATGACATAATTGAAGTGGTATGTATGCCACTAAGCAAAAACTACTGTAGTAGTTCATGAATTCTACTTAAACTTTCTCTTAATATTCTCTTCATTAAGCTGTTAATGCTTCTGTATCTCTGGCATAAAATTGCCTGTGTACAAGCTTGCATAATACTCACAGAATGACTGTAAATTTTAAAAATAGCAGTGCCATTGTGTTCTTTCCCTCTTTTACGCTGTGGCATTTATTCGTGTTTATCAAAATATCTAGCATATGAAGCTGCCCAGTGTTTTTAAATGTGTCAGAAGGACTGTCTGGTTTTTTTTGTTTATATTGATTCTGCTATAGCCAATAGCAAACATGGAAAAATGCCTGTATATCAAACTTAAGGGCTGCTGCAGCCAAATTCAAAAAACTACTGTGTACTATTATGTTAATATACACAGGGATGCCTTGGATGAAACAAGACTTATGATTTACAAATTTTCTCTTGGCAGAGTTTTGAAATTTATCTAGCTATGCAGTAGGAAAAAATTCAGATACCTACAGAGTAGAATTTGCTTCAAGTCTCCTCACACACCTCCTCCCCCTTATTAATTAGTTCTCATCAGGTGGCATTTACTGTCTCGGTAACTCACTCAGAGAGAAAGAATAAAATGTCCATTTATTCATGGTTTTGAATAGAGCAAAACAGCATATTGTAGAGAAATAATTATGTTATATGAACAGAGCTTAAGTGACTAACTAGCTTCATGACTGACTCACTGCTTGGCTGTCTCTAATATTAACTGAGTCCTGATTTTTAAAAAAGTGGGAAAAGAACTGTTGAGTAGAGAAGCATGGCTCTCTTCAAAATATGAGGCACAGAGAGAGAACTATTGGTTGGTGCTGGATTGATTGACATTTATCCTAACTCTGAAAAGTCCCTCCCTGCCAAAACCTCTTAGAGACAGCATACAAAGATTGCAATAATTCCAACACTTTATACTTTCAGGGGGACCCTTTCACTCCTGTCTTGTTTTGAAGAGGAACCTCTGTTTCTATAAACATTCTGTGAAAAATTATTGTGTGTAGCCTTGCTGTACTCCCCTGTCAACTGAAAGCACCTTTGTAAATATGGAAAGTTCCTGAAATCTTAAAGCCATTGACAGGTGCAGGGGGAGGGGCGAGGAGCGGGACCATCTGCAGTTCCTTCATCCCACATCCCAATGTCTCTGAAAAGAAATAGGCATTTTGTGAAAATTGAAATATGTAGGGCTTCATAAAATTCTGCAGCATATGTAGGTTTTTGAGAGAGAGAAACATCAGGAAGTCTAGATTACTGCAGTGCACTCTATGTGGGGCTGCCTTTGAAGATGGTCCAGCGACTGCAACTGGTCCAGAACCAAGCTGTGTGGCTGGTGAATAGTGGGGCCACTAGGGGACACATCAAGCCGATTCTACATTGGCTACCAGTTGCTGCCCAGGCCCAATTCAAAGTGCTTGTTTTGACATATAAAGCCCTAAACAGCTTGGGCCCTGGATACCTGAAGGTCCGCCTCCTTCCATATGAACCTACCCCGCAGTTCAGATCTAGCTGGGGGCCCTCCTGAAAGAACCATCCCTCAAGGAGATAAAAGGGATGGCTTGTAGACAAAGGGCCTTTACGACAGTTGCTCCCAAACTATGGGATGCCATCTCAACTGAGATTCATCTGGCATTGACAGTGATGACATTTCGGTGACAGGTCAAAACCTTCCTGTTCCAGAAAGCTTTTAATTGAAATAATATCAATTGTGGGTCCTGATGGCAGCTTTTTAGAGTATATATTTTAATTGTTTTATCTTTTCTTTACTGTCATTAAATTGTTATAAGCCGCCCAGAGACCTTTGGATAGTGTGGGCGGCATATAAGTTAACTAACTAAACAAATAAATAAGTGTATTTACAAGGAACTGACCAGCATATCTTACTGTTGAGCATATTTATGAATTGATATAATATAAAAGCCTGATGTTATTCAAACAGTAATTATAGATACATCCAATGTTTATATTAGATTTGCAAGTTACTGGCATCAGAAGCCTCTGTGCTGTGAGTTCAGAAGACCAGCAGTCATAAGATCGAATCCATGTGACTGAGTGAGCTCCCGTTGCTTGTCCCAGCTCCTGCCAACCTATTTATTTATTTATTGAATTTATACCCCGCCCATCTAGTCAATTGACTAATCTAGTAGTTCGAAAGCATGTTAAAATGTGAGTAGATAAATAGGTAGCACCTCAGTGGGAAGGTAACGGCGTTCCGTGTCTAGTTGCACTGGCCACTTGACCACAGAAGCTGTCTTCGGATAGATGCTGGCTCTATGGCTTGGAAATGGGTGGCTTTGGGTACTATTCACTTCAACGTGGAGACGTAGGGTGTTCCATTGTTCATGTAGAAAATGTCTGGGACCTTTAACATGATAGCAGTAAAATCCAGTAGCCTTGCCAACGCCCTAAGTGAGCAGGAAGCGTGCTGCAGAAAGCTTTCCAGGATCCCCAGCATATACTGGATTTTTTTGCAAGTGGAAATCCTCAGATTTTCTGGTTTATTGACTAGTAGGCCTGGGTTCAAAACTCAAGCCATCTTCATAGATGCTTCAGATTCTAAAAATGCCTTTTGTTTTGCATTAATTACTTTGTTTAAAAACAGGTAAATGGCAAGCTTCCCGGGCAGTAGTAGAAAAACGTAATAAGTTCTGCCATATTTTCTGACCTATACAAACAGTGGTCAGTGAAGTCCTAGAATATATGGCAAGTCACTTGCCAGATCATTTTAGTGTTACTTTAGGATTAACAGTCAACTTCTGTTAAATTACCATTATCTAGTCTGTGGACTTCCACTTCCACTGGAAACAGTATTTTATATATTCAAGATAGATTTAGATGATTCCAAGGTTTTCTTCGCAACTGTGTAGATTTCTTAGTGGGTTGTGGGGTTTTTGTTTTTGTTTTGGTAATCTGAGTCCTAGAGCCAATTCATTTATTGATATAAGTGCCAATAACCTTTATAGCAATATGCACCCTTTGTCTTTTCCCTTTGGCTGCAGAAGAAAGAGAAGAGCTCAAGCTCTACTCCTTCTTATAGAACTCCTAATTGCATTGGCAAAATTTGTATCAGCTTTCACTCTTATTGGATGGGCAGGGATCCAGGCTCTGCGGCAGGAGAACTGGCAATATCCTGTTCAGACACCAGCATCTTAATTGGCTTCATAGTTCTTACAGCAAATCACATGAGGATGAAAATGATCAGTTAGAAAAGAAAAGAAAAGGCAGAATTTAATAGGAGTGCCTTGTATTGAAGTATTTCAGAGTGGCAACACAGTTGGAAAGTTAAGAACAGAAATCTTGTGTTGCTGCACATATGCCAGTGGAAATGTGTGTAATGCTTTATGTACAATTTGTGATCATGGTGAAATTAAAATTAGACAGTTGCCCGCGAAACAACCGCTTTGGTCTGGTAGTTTGCTAAATCATGAATCAGAACAGCAGATGGCATGATCTGTTTCAAAGTACAGGTGGAAATGCACATGATTGTTTTTCTGTACAAATGCACTGGAAGTAATCCTGTTGCTTACTGTACTAAGGCACTTTAGAGTAGGCCTATTGAATCATACTGGCTTATTCTAGTAATGACTTACAATAATGTAGTAAGTTGCAACTAGAATAGGTATGTATATAATTTACGGAGGAGATGATTTACCAACCCCATTGAAATGTAGTAAGTTGCAACTAGAATAGGTACGTATATAATTTACGGAGGAGCTGATTTACCAACCCCATTGATTTATTAATCTCTCTCTCTCTCTCTCTCTCTCTCTCTCTCTCTCTCTCTCTCTCTCTGGTACTTGAAGATTGAACTGTAAAGGCAAAATAGTTCTGCTCTACTTCTGGAACTTAAATGAGTTTTTAAAACTCTAACATGCCTTGTACCTTAAAAAAACACTGTAAGATCTTATTGTTTGTCATCAAACTCAGAATATACATTTGAAAGTAGTACCTGAATGTAATAATGAAGGTTTGACTAGATGGGCGGATGCTAATTGTTGAGGGGAAACTTGAAGGCTGCTGCTCTCCTTTCTTACAATTCTTTATTTCTGACAGACTTAAGACTAAAAGTCTGTCCTCTTAAAAGTAAGACACATAACCAAACCTATACTTGGGGTTTCCAAGTACAGTAGTTTCTTAGCAAATACTGACCTGATTTGAATAGGTTTGGGAAGTTTGTTGCATTCTTGGTATTGGCTCTTGCCTTTCCATTGGACCATTTCAGCAACGTGGAGAGGGGGGATCTGCTGCTTGGGTAACAGCCTACCCTCCATATTCCTTTACCCAGGCTTCATGCTCTGGAGAGAACACTCCTCGATTCAGAGCATGTTACCATAGTCTCTCGAGACTGAAGGATGCCTATGATGGTGCTTCTGTACTAGGGTATTTGAGCACTGCTGAGGCATTGGTTTTCTGCAGTTAACTGGAAATGACATTTAAAATGGGATATTCCACATGACATTTAAAATTCGTAGCATTCTTCCCACATAATGAAGAACCTGTTACAGTGTCTACTTACAGGAAATCTTCATTAATCAAAGATCCATGGCAATAGTTTTATTACCAGGAGATCTGTCAGTTTTATGGTTTCCAACTGATCCTTGTTAGAAAAATTAGGAAGCAAATCCCCCCTTTCTGTCAGTTGCTACACAGGATGGGTAGGGGTGTTCTTAAAACACTTATTTTCTATGTTTAAGGGTTTGTTTATATATATAAAAATACTAGTATTATAATATTACATAAACTAACAATTTAAAAATAAAAATAAAAATAACATTAGTTAACTTATGGTGCTCCCTCTGACTCAGAGAGAAACTGAGCTGCCATGGCCAGCAGAAACACTGTGTTTATTTGAACCCATGGCTGAGATCTGGAAGAGACAATGAAACCAGTTGAGCCTGCCCAGCGTGTCATTAGAAAGTTCAGGGGCACTGAAATGCTTTGGACTTAGTGTGTAAGTCTCCTGGACAGACTGTGATTATCTCTAATACGCACGTCTGTGTGATCTTATCATAAATATGAATCTGAGAAGAAAAGAGGAACACAGAAAACACTGGGGCCGAGCTTCTGGAAATGTAATGTGGGTGTTCTAGAAAAATTAACTGAGCGAAGAAGCTACTGTTGAAGTACCTTATATTTTTCCAGACGAGAGATTGTAAAAGTCACTTTTTCTGGACTGTGGCCTCAAGAATTTCCCAGTCAGTACAGCCAGTGAAAATTGACACTAATGTTTAACACTCGTGGTTGAAATTATGATAGTGTATGAAATAAACAAATCTGTCGCCAATACCATACATTTTTTGTGTATGTGGGATGAATCCAGGGAAGTTAAAAAAAAGTTGAGGACAATTTGTTGCTCTAAAATATTAATGGCTGGATAGCTCAGTGGTTTAGGTGCCTGACTGCAGAGCCGGAGGTTAGGAGTTTGATTACCTACTGTGTCTTCCTGTGAGTAGAGCTAGCCTGTGTAGCTTTGGGCTAGCTACACAGTTCTGGAACACCCTCAGAAGAAGGGAATGGTAAACTACTTTTGAGTATCCTGTATCTGGAAAATCCTGAAGAATTGACTTGTTGGTACCTGATTATTATTACTAAACTAAATAATGGTATTGGCATTTCAGTTAAAATAATAGTTGAAAATTATAACTGCCACAGGATAATAAATAGGGAGTAACAAAATTTCCAAGCTCTGGGTGAAACCAGAACAAGCTGTTAGTACTAACTGGATGGAAACAAAAGATGAATACCTGATTAAAAGTGAAGAGAATTTAGTTCTCTCAGAAGTGGGAAGATGTGTGGTAGACTCTGGCTGTTTTTGTGTTATGATTATTAGGCAATCATTTTAAAAATCATTATAACCTGAACGTATGAAGCCATGAACATTAACTGTCATGAGATATGTCAGTGTTGGTTATTGTCTTTTACTGCTCTAAGTGCACACATCTGAAAGGAACATGGACACTTGAAGAGGCAGTGATCTTGGCCAGGTCCGCACAGAATCTGAGTGTATGGGCAGACTGAATGCATGAGTTTTCCCCTAACAATTTAGTGTAGCGAGCATTGGAAACTTTACCTGAGGCAGCTATAACAAAATATCTCTTTTTGATAAATTGTCTTAAGAGCCCTCCTTGATCAGAGTTCATAAACAAATCAAGACAGCATTTTGTCTCTTGTAGTTCAGCCTGAATTCTAAAATGATTGTCTACAGCAAGTGTTCTCCAACTTTGTCTCTGATCTGAACCAATGGCCACTAAGCTATCTAATCAAGCCATATGCAAAGTGTTCTAGGATGTGTATATGATGGGCTCTTGCAGCTTCCATATCAGTGCACCTGTTTCTGGGAATTCTTCTGTTCAGTAGCTATTCCTCTCTACAGACCAACACATGAGGAGAAACATTTGTTCATACTGGTAAGCCTTAATCAAAAGGGTATTCCTAGTGGACTTGGTCCTTTTTAACATTTTATTTTCTGAAATCCTGTTGGTGTGACTACATCTGTGGAAGGGTGATGGCGTCATCAACAAGGAGAGATTTTCTGGAATTAAAAAACTTCCTATCTATGTCCTGTGGTTTTTATGACTCCTGTGTAATCCCTTTCATTGTGTGGAAGACGTGGGGCAGAAGGAGGAATTATTTAATTCCCAGACACAGGTTTCCCCAGATGAAATTACTGGTGGTGTATGTGATTTTTGAGAATTAAATACACCCTCCTCCTGTTCCATGACTTAGACAGCCTTCACACAATACAAGAGAGAACACGGGAGATGAAAAAGCCGCAATACAAAAGTAGAATTATTGAAGATTGCCCCCTGTTGTTGATGTTCACAGTCCTTAGTTATGCAACAGGATTTCAGTAATTTATTTATTATCCTATGTTGTTACTGTATTTTTGCTTTTATTTTTATTGTGTATTACAGGTTAAAATTAATTATTATATTTTAATTGTCTCTGAATTTTATTTTAATTTCTGGTAAATTGCTTTGGGTCCCTGCGAAGGGAGAAAGGCAGGAAAGAAATAAAATAAGGTAAAATAAATAAATTGTATCTTGTATGTAGTGTTTAAATCTACTTTGTGAGGATATTGACCTAAAAGGCCAAGGCATAATGTATACTATAATTCTTCTGTAATTCTGTTTCAGGTGACTCCTCACTGATGAGAAGTTCTGAATTGCTTTTAGAGTTCAACACAACGAAATCATGTTCACAGCAAGGCACTCAACATGTAGTTCAAAGTAATATCAACTTCTTTTGTGGGAAGACCCTAGTAAGTATAACATTATTGCTAAGAACTCTTGCAAAAATTGTAAAAGAAATTGAGGTAGTTGCAATATCTCCAATTAACCTCCATTTTTGTAAAATTCTGTATAAATTATGGAGTATCTCTGTGCTCTTTCATGATATATGGATGTTGCATGCAATTATCCCTAATTGCAATGGGTCCTGTAGATTTAGTCTTTTTTTAAGGTGGTTTAAAAAATTCTATTGCAATATTAAAGTGCAAGCAATAAATATCAAGTATCTATATAAATATGTAAATGTAAACATATTAAGAAATAGGAAGTTAGCTCAACATGTAAATAGTTTATGGTTAGACATTGTTCTGAAGACATAAAAATAGGCACATTGGCCAGTATTCTGATACATAGGTCTGCCTTTGCAACAGGATGATATCATCATCAGTGGCAGATGGCTGCTGATTAAAGAGTTCCTTTTTTATTTCAGGCTGTGTGCAACTCACATGCAATGAGATGGAGATGCTTGCACTACAAAATCAGAAAAGATGTCTTTAATCAGTATAAGTTTTCTGTTGAAGGTGATGTCAATCCTGTTGCATGGCAGAGTTATGCAGTAGGATATTGGTCTTCTTCTCTACTAATCTCTTTTAGCTCCTGTATAATACATGAACTTGGTTCATACCAAATCGAATGTTTCCATTTATAGTTGAATAGTATAAGAGTAAAAATAAATTATTCCTCCTTTGTTGAAATAGGCAATAAATTTTATATTAGTATATTTATATCCCACTTTTCAGCCAAGAGTGGGTACCATTTGAGCTTAAGTTATGATTCCTATGAAAATAAGTTATTAGTGATAATTGGTGTATGATTTTTTTTGCAGTAGTTAATGTTCTCAATAATCCCAGGGTTTAAGATGATTCTTCCTTTTAGTATGTTTATGCATCTGAGCTGAAGTAGTCTCCAGTTTACACGAGAAAAATAATTCAACAATGAATAACTAATCTTCTTTTAGCTGTAGTTTCTTTTAAAATTTATTTGCTGGTTTGGATGATGAGATTAAATTTTGTTTTCATTTTCAACATGTGAAATGGCAAATGTTGTTTTCAATTGCTTTTTGCATTAGGGTTCCCCAGAATTTGTAGCTTCAACTGAATGTGTGCACTACTTTGAGTGGAGGACTTTTGTTGCATGCAAGAAGGACTTGTTCAAACCAACAAAAGAGGTAATGCAAGTTCTAGGCAAAGTACTGTTACTTCTGTTGTAATACTGTGCATGTTCACTCAGAAGTATGTTTCAGTTCAATGGGCTTTACAGCTTTATAAGTTGATTTGAGACTGCAGTTTTCTAGTTCATGATCCACTAGTTTTGTTCTAAATGATTGCTGTTTAGCCCCTTTATCAGGTTTCTTGTAATGTCATGGGATCAACTAAAACATTGGCTGCTATCCTGTTCATGGTGGCACAACATAAAGTTACACTGGCATAAATATGCTGGGTGTTATGCTTGACAACAAGGAATTGTACTATGGAATTGCACAATTGAGTGCATGTCCCCATCATGACTGATACACTTCCTGCTTGATGCTAGCAGAGCCACCACATGCATTAGCTCAACTTATACATGCCTAGTTGAACAGTAGGATTTTAGCCACGGAATGAAATACTCAATTTGCCTGTTCTGCTTTAAACAACTCCTTAGTTTTGGCACGACTTCTGAAGGTGCTCAGCACCATCACCAGTCCTTAAGCCTGAGCTGTCCCTGCCCCACAGTGGTGTCAGTAAATTAATAGAGTATGATGGAAGGTGAGAGTTGTTGTGGAAAACTTTGGTAATCTCTAGTATCTGCACATTTCCAGGTACCCTGCTATGTATTTGATAAAGACTTGAAGAAGCGTGATTTGAACCCCTTGATTAAGAGTTCTGGAGGATATTTGGTGGAAGATTCTGATGAAGATTCGGAGCTATACATCAACATCTGTAGAAACATAGGTCTGAACCTCAGTGTACATAGCATGTGGAAACACAATAATGTTGCTTGCTTTGGTTTTAAGAATATAATTTAAATGTATGCATTTGTTGACTTGACAGGAAGTGTGCTGAGAGCAACCCTGTATATATTTATTAACAAGGCTGAAATATCCATTTTCCTGCAGTAAAAGAACATTAAGATGTGAACATTGTTTTACAGCTCTAAGCACAGGGGGGAAAGAGAAAGACACCACCCCCCACACATCCAGCCACCCCATCCCCACCATCTCCTGGCAAAGATCAAAAGCCTATGTTCATCATAGCTGGCATTAATTCAAATTAAGGCTTAATCCCACAGTGAAATCAGACAATCATAGACAAATATTTCAAAATTCATCTCTCTTCCACCCCCCTTTTGCCATAATTCTAGACAACTTCAACTTGTCCAGTTTTACAAACTTTTATTTGTACATTGTTTCTAGGTTCCATACTTCAAAAATAAGTTCAAATATATTGAAGACAGTCTTACAATTGTGAGGAAAAACTGTAGGCACGAATACTTAAAATACAGGAAAATTGAATTTAAGCTGTAAGCACATACCTAAGTCATAAACATATTTGATAATTGCAGGAACATACATTTTGAAATACCCTAGCTTATAACTCAAAAGGGCAGAAAATACTTCTCTAGAACACTTTATTGAAAAGGAAAAAAATAAACTTTAAAAATGTAAAAGTTTTCTTGCTAATACATGAAGAAATATCAAAATTCTCAAATTAAGAATATATAAAGTGAAAAGCGTAACTGAGACTCTAAGCATGTGGTTAACACACACTAAATCAATACCAAATATTCTCATGCAACCAAGCCAGTTAAAGGCATTTGTGAAGTCCATTGTTTATTTTCGGGGGCTGTGTTGTCATCTTTTCTGCTGGTCTTACAACATTTGCCGGGCATCATGTACATTCTGTGTCTCACACTTTCTCCCTCCTTGAATGAGATGCCTCATACAAATGTGAGTTTTATCCCCCATATTTATACTCTACATGTGCTTTATCATAACCCAGACAAACATCCTTTATTCCGCTTGGTTCAGTGGACAGCTAGGGGAGCTGAGAGCTACAGCAGCTAACAGCCGGGTAGCCACTGACTAAAGGTGGTACTGGCTAGGTCTGCTGTTTTAAAGCAATACGTATTAATGGCATTAGATGGTGATACAACACAATGTAAAAGATATACAAACATTTAGGTGACAATTTTTTTTTACAAATTCTTTAACCTTGATCTGCAGTACAGCTGGTCAGCACTTGTGTTATGAAATGACTCCTCTTAGTAGCAATTCCAAGCTGTAGTTCTAAACTGCACTTTACTTTTAGGGCTTTTTCCTCCCCCCCAATAAAACACAACATTTCAAATATTGACACTCCCACATCAATATGCTTTGTACTTTACTAGCAGTCTCCACCTAATCCTTTGTTTATGTACAGGTCAGGAATGTACATTTCCCCTCCTTTTGTTTCTGCAGGTACACTTCCATCCACTGGTTCTTACATCTGCTTCCTCTGACTGTCATAAAAGGTTTCAGTGCAGCTACTTAGAGGCTTTTAATCTTCATTTATGAGCTAAAAATGTTAGTCCAGTTTTCTAGTTAGTAGTGGTTCTCCAGGCAAGGAGTTTCTGTCTAATGTGTTGGCTTTGTATCAGCGGTTCTCCAGCAGTTTTGAGGTTCTGCTGTAACAGAGAAACAGGCACGTCCCAGAATTTTCTAGGCAGTATAACATTTCATAGATGGATAAACTGTTTACTTACAAAGTTTTGTACCAATAGTTATAAAATCTGATAGCTCTCTTGTTTTGGGCTGATCTTGTGTTTGAAATACATAGTCAGTTCTTTTGGAGACTTGTTTTGGGGGTTTATGTCTCAAACTGGCTGATGCATTGGTTATATAAATGGATGACTGAGATGAATTACATAAATACATTTTCAATAAAATAAAGTTTTCAAAGAAAGAGGCAACAACAGTAAGAAAAAGGAATCTATCACATATTAGATGCAAAATCCTATTGATGTTCATGTAAGATTTGCATAACTTACCATGTCTAACTGCAGTTAATTGATGAGATTCCAGAGTGCATCTTGGTCACATATCTGGTTACATGCCTGATTGAGCACTTTGTGCGCTGTGGCGCTTTGTCAATTAGCTGTCACAAGTTAGACAAATCTTATGAAAATAGTAGCAAAATTCTGACTATTGTATTGTTCATTGTAATTACAACACTTTGCGACATCCTCTTTTACATTTTTATATTCACATATTTGTCTCCAGATTTTCCTGTGTACCATACACTGCTGTCAGTATTTATTTGTGCTGAACTAGAGCACCAATTCAGATTTCTGCAGTGGTCTAATTAGGTCCTGGCTGTGTTAGCACTTTGTTAGACTGCTGCAACAGCTTTTGTAGCTGGCATTCAATATGCCTAAATATTGAATAGGATATGGGCCATCATGTTTTAGAAAGTGAGTGTATCCAAATACTGGGTTCCCATAATTTTCCAGTAGTTAGTTTTTTCATGTCATAATTACATTCTAAAATTTAAGCATCGAGTTATGGCTTTTACATATGCTCATGAATTTACACATTTTTGCTCAGAGTATGGCATAATTACTTCCAAATAATAGAGTATCCAGTCTCCCACAGATAGATGGCCAATTTTGAGGGTAGTAATCCAAAAAATAACTTTCTCAAACTTTGTTTTTACTGCATTGGGTCTTCACAAGTGCACATTGAGTCTTCACAGTATGTGGAAATTTTGCAAGGAACAATAAATTTCAGGTGCATTGGGGAGAATGTGCTTAATGATTGGTTAAATGGTGTGTAATTGTCAATTAACATTGCATTTTGTGTGCACCTCATTATGTAAGTAGATAAAAACCTTTTGCAGTAGACTCAAAGATCTATTTGAGGACCTATTTCTAAGTGTATAGGTTGAAATACCAGACTTTGTTATAATTTCATATTGTCCTATCTTAAAGACAGAGAAAGCAAATTCCCTTTGTTCCAGATATATTGCTAGATTGTTCTACTTCAGGTTTTCTGTTCTACTGTTCTAAGTGCAGAGTCTACATCACTCACTTCTTTATCTTTAACAGTTGTAACATTTATTAGACCTTTTAATATATCCTGAACTCATTCTTTCTTATACCTAGTCTGTAGACAATCTACTTTTTGTACTGTCGTCTTCCACATAGCATAGTATCTATGTTGAGAATATTGAAACAGAAAGAACCTTCAACCTTCGTTCTGGTTATCAATAAAACTTTGAGTTAAAAAATCTCCCTAGCATAACACTTGATAGGGATAAGGAAGCAGCAGATGGGGTGATATTTCTGAGTTTAAAATGTCCTCTTTTTTTTAAAGAAGATTTTTATCTTCTTTGGGGGAGTTAAATGAAGTTGAAACAAGCACTATTGCTATAATTCTGTTAATTCAATGGCCTACTGTTTGTCTACAATTTGCTCTTAGCTGAAAAAATGGCCATGTATGTCTCTATTGCATGCTTAGCAGCTTGGACGGTTGTGCAGCTGAGGTAGGCCTTTGTACTTCATCAGTCAGCTACAGCAAGCTTCATAGACTTTACGTGAACACCAGTAGGATTCTGGCCATTATATAAACTTTGTTTCATATATGTAACTGAGCACCATCTGAGGTAGCATTAGTTAGTAAATGATCTTAAATTTCCTTTATTTATGTTACAATCCTTCTTGGCCACTTGTGGGTTTAGTGGGTTACTTGAATTCTCTTGCTTAGATTAGTACAGTATGACCACCGTATCTGCGAGATCAGTACAGTGGTGCCTCGCATAGCGATCGCTTCGTTTTACGACGAAATCGCTTTGCAACGCATTTTTTGCGATCGCAAAAGCGATCGATTTTCAATGTTCCCTATGGGGGAATTTCGCTTTGCAATGATCGGTTCCCTGTTTCGGGCACCAATCATCGCAAAGCAATGATTTTTTAACAGCTGATTGGCAGTTTCAAAATGGCCACGGGGTAAACAAAATGGCCACCCGCTGTTTTTTGGGACGGATTCCTCGCTTAAGAGGCACCAGAAATGGCCGTGCTATGGAATGATCTTCACAGAATAGTGAGTTTTAAACCCATAGGAACGCATTAATCGCATTTTAATGCGTTTCTATGGGCTTTTTAATATCGTTCTGCAGCGATTTTTGTAGAATGAATTAACGTCGCTATGCGAGGCACCATTGTACTCAACAGTTTCACTTATCTGCTGTAGAGATGTAAAATTTCCAGAAACTTTGAAGCTGTATGAAACAACTTTGGGTAAAAACAGGAACCCCCCCCCCCAATTTTTCCATTTCCCCCCAGGCATTCCCATCTCTAATCGGCTGCCTAAAAATATTAAATAAAAACCTCCAGAAATATGTGTTTCCAAGGTTTATTACCAGACGTGGCCACTAGAAGTAACCAGAGACTATGCAATATATAGCTTTGCTATAGCCACCATTTCCAGCATTTGAGGGTAAGCTTAGAACCAATCTCCAGTGGATACCACAGTCCTACTGTTATGTAGCTCAGCATTTTTCCTTATTTATTTTTATACAAAACGTCTTCAACATTTTTGACTTTTCCATTTTAATACTCTATGTGTAATCTGTTTTGGGCGAACGGACTCAAAACCTTATCCAAGAGTAGTGTTTCTCCTATGATTTCAAACTATGGTTACATCTGATATTGTATTAACAGGAGGATCCTCAACTGAAACCAGGATTTGTCCAGTGGGAAGTGCAGCTTGCCTATTGAAGGGTGGTCAAGCATTTGATTTGGGGCATCCTAAAGAACAACTCAAATCGCTTGATAAATATAGGTATGTATAATATAATTGTAAAGCTGCAAAACTGGAAGGGGCCCTATTGACCATCAAGTCCAGCCTCTGTCAAGAAGGTACAGTGGGGAATTCAATTCCCAGCCTCTGGCTCTGCAGCCAGATACCTAAACCAATAAGCTAGTTCCTTGTGATACTTTAAAGAAATAATTATTTGAAGGCTTGTTGCAATCACCAAGTTAAAGTTAGCATTCAAACTATAATGTTATGGGGAATGTTGGTGCCTTGACCCCTGAGATTTCTTTAAACGACACTTCAGGAATTAATTTAGCCATTTTTGTTAACGTATGCGAGTACAGTTAAATACTGCAGCTTAAAAAACAAAAAATTGAAGCTGAGGCTTCAATACTTTGGCCATGTCATGAGAAGGGACAACTCCCTGGAAAAGACTCTGATGTTGGGAAAGCATGAAGGCAAGAGGAGAAGGGGAAGACAGAGGATGAGATGGTTGGACAGTGTCATTAAAGCTACCAACATGAATTTGACCCAACTTCGGGAGGCAGTGGAAGACAGGAGGACCTGGCATGCTCTGGTCCATGGGGTCATGAAGAGTCGGACACGACTAAACAACAACAAAAAGAGAGCAGCTTGGAATCTTATGAGCACCTTGGGTGGATTCCAGTAAGCAGCAGGCAGACATCCACAAGTGCTGAACTCCACTGCAGGAGGGGCTACTAGACCAGATATTGGGTGTACATGGGGGAAAGCAGAGAACTTGCTGCCCTCACCATTTTGTGAATAAAGTACTTTAATGGATTCTGCTTTTATTTTTGCCCCCTTTAGCTGAGAAAAAGAGCAACATTTTTATAAATGTTCTTAGTTTTATGTTACAGTTGTGCTGTGTTTTATTGGCATTATGACTACCATTTCTGTTTTTTTTTTAATCTTGGCTTTTATATCATTTTGTTTGAGCTTTCGTGACTACGTGCTGCCCTGATTATAAGATACAATACTGTGATATAGAAATCTATTCCTCACGTTGTTGATGCTGATAGATCAAACCCAACATTTTTGTGGTGCTTTTTGTTTTATAATATTTTTCCAATTTCCATTGGGTAAGGGAAATTCCTAGGGAAGGGGATTTGGAACAGGGTACTGGGGTAATAAAAATACAGAATGTGATAGAGAACAATATAAGTATATCATTATTACTTTTGCCAATATGTTTTCTTTCTAAGCTTACTTTGCACTTGTCTTGCCATTTTTTCCTAAGCCTTTAAAATATATAGTTATATCTTGTATCTTCTTTCTCATAACTTTAATCCATCATTTTTGTGGTACATTGTTATGAAACTAATTTGGTCATGATGACCTAAAGTAAGTTCTGGCATATGCTTTATTATATAATGCAAAATGCCCAGAGAGAGGCAACAGTAATAGGATGGTACAAAATGGAAAATTTAAAAATAATTATTAACTGCATTCATTTTCACACTCTGTCATTAAGAGTGTGAATGAGTCCTTTTGCTGCCTTTTCATATTTTATTTCCTGTTTTCCAGGCTTTCTGTGAAGTATGAAAGATTTAGCAATGAGGAGAAGCCAGACTTCTGCGAAGGTCATGATCCTGCAGTGACTATTACTTTCGTATGTCCGCAAGGGAGGAGAAGAGAGGTAATTACAATCTGCCATGGGGGAAGGAAGAGTGCTAGATCAAGTCCTTAGCCGTAAAATAAATTATGACACTCCTCCTTAATGGGGCCAGTAAGCCCAACGAGGTTTGAAACAGAGCAGCAGATATTCTTCATCTCCTAGAGAGAGTTGAAGGGATATTGTCAGTTGAGGTAGTTGGTAGTTGCCAACTGGCACCAAGATTCCTACATTTGCTTTTAAAATTGAGCAACTTTGATAACTCCATAGTGCTTGTGGGGGCAGGTGTCAGGGTATCCTCCAACACACGATAGTATCTCATCATACATTCCACAGCACTTTTTTTTAGTTCTAGAAAGGGACAAAAAACATAAATGTAGAGAAAGGGGGCTTGCATTCAGCCGCTCAGTAGTGGCATTGTTTTATTGCAGCCATTGTAGCTTTATCAGTCTCTGCAGAAGCAGATGGGAGCGAGGGGACCTGAACTATAGCCAGAAGAGGCTGCATGTTGCTCACCACAGTCTAAATAAGTGGCTGATAATATTGCATGAAAGTATGAATATGAGGAATGTTGGTTTGTTGTAAGCAGTATTAATTAAAACATATAGATTCCTGCTAGGTCAGTAAAACCTCACCAGGGTATCAAATGATGGCTTGATCCTTTATTTGTGTTTGAGAGCATCTGTACCTCACACTTTCTGTGTACAGTAAGACATGGAAGACAGCTTGTATTAGTTCCATAAAACAACTTCGTAAGGAACAATTATGGATTGGAAACCCAGCGCTAAGATGAAGGACTGAAAGATTGTGGTATGTGTCGTCTTGAGAAAATAAGAATAAGGGAAGATATGATAGCATTCTTCAAATATTTA